CTCGCAACACTACTTAGTTTTGTCTTGCAAGCGTGTCGCTTGCAACTCTGCCGAGCGTTGAGTGGGCTGGACTATTTAGATCGACTAGCATCGCCACGCCCAATCGGTCTCTGCCTCTTGTCACGCAAGATGGCGGCGGCCATCCAGTGTTGAGGTCATTGTTTCGGCATCAGCGGACTGGACTGTCGCACTGCTGGAGTCTCGGACTTCATTGCGGCTCTTCAGCGGATTCGGCGGCATGATCGCCGATGCATTGCCGCGTGCAGGCACACCATCGATGGCACTCGCATCGGTAACTTCAGCCATCGCGTTCAAGAGTGGAGGACGTTACGGGAAGAGGGCACAGCGATGCAGAAGCGAGAGTCGAAGCGCAAACCCTTCAGCAGCTTTGCCAATGAATTATGATGCTCACTCGAAGCATTATGTGGCGATCCGTGACTGCGAGACAGGATCTCGGACACCAGCACTTGGTGTGACCAGCTCCGAGCTCAGAGTTGGGGTTGCAAGTGCTGCACGAGTGCAGCCAGCGCATTTGAGGCCGCCCCCGGTGAAAGAAGGCATCCGCGGACCGGAGGAAGATGATGATCGTTGGAGCAGTCGCTGCCTCACAATATCTGTCCGGTTCGAGGATTTCCTGCATGCAGTGCCTGCATGGTCCAGACAGTTCGTCCGAACTCAGGCATGAGTCCACGCCGCGCTGGCATGGCCGGGGCTGCAGGCACGAGATTTAGCTATGGGCCATGGTATGTACGTCCGTATGGCCTTCGTTGGACTCTCTGTCGCGGGGCTAGCTGACTCTAGGCAAGCATGGTACCGGATTCTGCTGGGAACACGTGCTGTTGGCAAGCACATGCATGCCGCACGGACGATGGGTTGGGCACTTCAGTTTTGCTTGATTTCACGTGCAAACCGGAAAATGAAACGATGTGAAAAACCTCGCAATTGCGATGTTGTTGCATTCTGACACTCGCATAAATCATATCGTAAGCATTTTTCGGAACAGGATGCGCTGGCGACTTGGACGTCATCATGCTTCATGCATGGGTGCTCTGGTAAGGTTGGGGATGTCACAACTCGCAGAGCGGCGCAAAGACGTCACTATCCTTGCTCTGGTGACAGCATGACATGGGAAGTGAGATCAAATTACCATCACCATCTTCTCATGCCACCCTAGTCTGTGCTGTCTGTAAGTAGCTCGGTGCGTCTGTATGATTCTGTATGTTTGTCTGTCTGTCTGCCAGTCTGTCCGTTTGTATGTGCGTGGATCTGTATCCTTGTAGATCTTTAGGTATGCAAACGCCTGTATGTGCATATATATATATATATATGTACATGCATTCCCCGTCTATGCATTTTTGTAGATATATGACAGTGTTACTTGAAAGTTAATGTTTTCGAGCAGCTATGTACGCATGTGTACAAGTATGTAGGCATACATGTAAACTAGGTTTGTGTGTATATCTACATATTTGCATGCATGTATATTATCTGTTTCTCTGTGTGTGTATACATATACATAAATACATATGCATATACATGTACACGCACACATTTATCTGTCTCTATACCTGTATATAAATACAGAGGCAAGAATACGGTCATATGTACATATACACATATACACATACACACATATACACATGAGTATATATATATATATGTATATATGTATATATGTATATATATATATATATAAATACACAGATATTTGCGTATATACACACATGTGTATATGTGTATGTGTGTTTAATTGTGTTTGCATACACATGTGTATGTATGTTTGTAAGGGTTTCTTTTGGTAAAGACTAACGCGTGTTTTGACGTGCGCACACATATGTGGGTTTTTGGAGATATTGATACATACATATGATTATGCATGCACGTACTGATGTATCCATGTGTTTAGGTATCTATGTATGTATGTATGTCCGTAAACATATCTGCATGCATTTGTGTGCATGTGAGTTTATATACAGAATTATGTATGTATACACTTGTAGATATGTATGCATCTATGTATGTATGCATACATATACATATATATATATATATATATTTGCCAGGTCCATGTGTATATGCACATTTTAACATTTCTGTATATGTTGGTTGTCGTGTATGTGTATGTGAGTAGGTATATCCGATGTAGTTTCAAGTGTATAGGTGTGTGTGTATATTATGTATCTGCATTTGGTCTTAAATTAAGAGTAAGTGTATATGCCAGGTATGTATATGTTCTTGAACATGCATGCGTGCATGCAGACGCATGCGTATATGTGATGTGTATGTATACGCATAGTGGTTTGCATTTTTCCGCACGTACATATGCATGTCAATGTTTATGTTTCTGTAGATGTGTACAGGCGCACACACGCATACACATGCTTCTACACACACCGTACATACATACATACGTACATGCATACATGCATTTTCTGCATCTGTATGGCTATTTCTATCTGTGTATCTATACTTGTATCTGGGCGCACACATACACATCCTCCATCTGTACGTTCGTAATGTACGCACATGTACGTGTCGTGCTCGTGTGCGCGAGAGTTTCTGTTTGAAAGAAGTTGATTCGTGCAATACCCAGTCCTCATGGTCTCATGTGTTTGTATATTGTGCTGACATGGCTGATTGAGCAACATCTTCATTCAAATGAGTGTGTCCACATGTTTTAGTGCCACGGGCATTGCACTGCCCCTGCCTGCATTGGCGATGTCTAAGTCCCGTGTCGATCCCTAGTGGTGCTCACAGTGTAACCGAAATTGCTTACGCACTTACACTTGCAAGCATCTGGCAGCCCGCAGCCACAAAAACTACACGGCCGTATTGTTTGTGTGGATGGGTTCTCTCAACCCCGGACATGAATACGTGCCCTCGTATCTCTCGCAGTTTTCGGCCGGGGGCTGCAGCCTGTCGGTCTGGTGTTTCGTGGAGCACGAGAGATACTTGTTCTGATTCCGCAGATGCTCTGTCCCCAAGCAGCAGAATACCTTCAAGAGCTTCAGCCCAACAACCACAAAGTTTTGACAGCCTCAAGACACCGCTGCAACGACTGGCGTTTGCACCGTCGAGCATGCCTTTGTCGACCTAAAATATGCGCTTCGTGGAACCATCAGTTGATACGGTTGGTGGTGTTCAGGTGCACGTCGAGAAGGGGGGACTTCGACCAGTGGGAGCGTACCAGGCAAAGTTGATGGAGGGTTTTTAATGGGAGTCATGCAGCAGGCCACCACACAGACTTGAGCCAAAGGAGCTTGTCATGAGAGGAGTGCTGATAGCCCCCGCTCTCAGACATGCTTGCATGCTTACAGGCATCGGCGTCGGCGTTGGGTTGCGCACCCCCAGAGGGTCCAAGGTGTTCCGGCTGTACAAGCAGCGACATCGCAAGTGCTATTTGTGTTGTTGCAAGCATGCATGTCAGCTTGCCGTAGTCAGTAGACAAAACACAGCGTGACTTTGAGTTTTTGAAGTCGGCCGAGGTCCGCACCCGGCCGGTGATTGCCCCACCGGTGCATTCTGGCCAGGGCGACTTTGGCAAACTGAGCGTCGTCAGGGGCCTGATCATTTGCCCGCGTTTCTGCACCATGTCGCTTCCTTTGCTTCGGCTTCTGAGCTGTTCTAGCTGGTCCAAGATTCGTCCTGCTGATCTGAGCTTGACAGAAAGGCGTGCTAACAAGCTGCACAGGTTGAGGTTCAGCTTCGTCTCTCTCCGTGTCCGTGTGTGTGTGTGTGTATGTGTACAATCCTGATAGCAAAGGGATAAGAGGCAGGGGGGTCACCCATGCCAGTGGATCGTGACCCAACGAAGAGGTCCACTGAGCATGCTGATATGGAGCCTGATCAGCTCCACGTACCTGCACTTTTGTGTGTGGCGAAGTTGTAAATCAACTCTAAGCTACTTTCGCAAAAGAAGAATTTCCACGGTATTTCCACGTGTGCGTGTGTGTGTGTGTGTGTGCGCGTGTGTCTCGAGTGTCTGAAGCTGCTGCTGAGCCACACCGTTCACGACATCCACTGATTCCCAATTCTGCCGAAGCCGTGAAGCTTGAGAATGCGCGAAGCTCATGGGTGAAGTGAGGTCGAACGCTTCAAGCCGGATCTAACGCTGGCAGAACAGGAGCTTATCTCAGCTATGCGATGCAAAGCCAAACTTCCAGTTTCCAGTCGTACTTCGTCGGTTTGTGATTTTCAAGAGAAATGACATCTTCGGCGGATGCTTGCAGCTTCAAAGCATGCTGTAACAATTCTCGCCCAGGAGCGACAGAAGCTTTCCGGCAAACTCTGGAGCAGGTGGGGCTTTGTCTGCGCAGCAAAGCTCTGCTGTTGGATCGCCTTCGGCACCGCAGGAAATGATTCCTCCGGAGAGCTAATGACGCTAGCAAGCCCAGCGTTCAGCTTAAAGCGAGGCTGCGCCGGGCTTGTTAATGACTTTCACGTAGATCGGCCATGTCCTGCTGATGCCCTGCTTATGAACGTGAGATCCTCTTCTGCGCACTCAGGCATCTTCCAGTCAGGGCAGTTGCAAACCAGCCGGCGTTGTGCATCTCAGGACAACTCCCAAGGGCATAGTTTTGTAGTGGTTGAAAATGCGTGAACATGCTTTCCCCGCATGGGCATGGCTAGCAGTTGTCGATTGCCAGTGTCAGCTCCTTGGCATTGTACCCGTGTCTTCAACCCGTGGCGCCAACTGTGCGCTGGGTGCGGGTGCGGCACAAGGGAAAAGGGTCGTGGGTCAATACCTGCTTCGCGGGCTTCATGCTTTGCAGCGCGCCCTCTGACGGCAGACTTGGGCTGAAGGCTGCATCAGTGGAACATTCCCAGGCGCTTCGTTTTCTTTTTAACGCAATTGGGAGGGTTCCCAAAGCATGGCTTTCTGGGACAAAGCATCCATCGGGATCCGACCCAGTGTCTGGTTAGAATGTCATGGTAAAGGGGTCGCATGCGTCACGAACTGCGCAGCCAAATAGGTCTCAAGGAAGGTGCGGGCAATCGTCATGGCCACTCTGGGCCTCAATCCTGCCGAGTACCCATCAGAGGCACAGCTTCACCGCATGAGAGCATCCAAGTTGCCAGCTTATCCCAAAGGTCGCGAGTATTCCTGCATGAATTGGGTCAGCTTAGTTTTATTATTCAACTCTTGAAGCACTCGGACAGGTCAGACCGCAGGGTGCTCCGGCTTGTCTTGGGTTGCCGTCACAACTTGGTGAAAACGTCGGGTTGGAGAGCTTTGTCAGGCCTGCAGGCGTGTATAGCCAGTAAACCTCAGAATGCCTGCTGGATACTTGCCGGTACCAGACTGCATGGTTTCATGCGTCTTGATCGAAGCAGAGCTGACCAACAGCTTTCAGATGTGCTATGTGTGTGGACGCCACTCCTGTCCTTGGCCAGATGATGGCATGAAGTACCATGACAGCCCACACCAAGGTGCTCCTGCTTGTTGCATGTGCTGCTCCTGTGGAGATGGCACCGCTTTCGGAGCCGCATGGGCTTGTCCTGTTTGTTCAAGTCTGTTCCGTGACAGCTTCGATTTCGAGAAATTCGTCAGCATCCGCCTAAAGTATGCAGTTCGAGTTTGATCCAAGTCCCGTCGAGGCATGGAATTTGATTCGCGAGACCGTCCATGGGCAGTGGCTGCCTCATCGCTCCTCAAAATCAGGGCTGCGGGCTTCGGGGTGCAGGTGCAGGTGTCCGAGCACCCCTGCTGTTTTTGTCTGATCGCCTACAGCCGAGGCTCAACAAGGCGGCGGCTACTGGCAGGACATGGCAACGAGCCAACGGGGGCCAACAGGGCCTAGGGGGCCGAGTCAAGAGAGAAGCCTGGCAAGGGTCGTTTGTGCTAGGAGAGGGTTCTGTGCCGGCGCAGTGAGCCCCTGCTTCCTGCCTCTCTCCGTGTCGTTGCAGGAGCAGTGGAGGCCTGACGGCGGAGAGTATGGCTTTGCAGGACAAGGCCGGGAAGAGTGACGCCAAAGAGTCGTCAGTGCTCTGTCCAATTCGGCCTGTCTCATTTTCGCAGGCACAGGTGGAAGTGACTGGACAGACAGGGGCCCAGATTGTACTCAAGCTTTGTCGGGCATTGGCATGTGGCATATGCAAAAGTCCGAAAGTCATCTTGGACATGCCGTTGCTTAAACCGGGCATGATGTGCTGCTCCCTCGACACTAAGTCCGGATGGCAGATGCCGATGGCGTGGAGCCCCGGCATCCAGATGCTTGTGACTGCCAGCGCATTACTCTCAACCCTGCCCTAACCCTAAATCTCTGGCCCTGGCCCGACGGGGTTGTAACTCCAAGCCCTAAACCCAGACCTGGATCCGACTTGGCCCAAACAAGGCCATGAACGATGGGTGGCAGAGGTGCGAAAGAGCAGCATCTGTAGCACCCATGCGCACCGAACAAGCTTTGCTTCTGGCTCCATGGTTCTACAATGCTCTGCTCCGAAAATCTGTGTCACCCCTATACGACCAGACAATAATGCTCATATCGCAGCGACGAGTTCGATGCACGTTGACCTCTGGCCACTTTTGAGTCCTTTTTCGTGCTGACCAGGAACCGAAACGGTGCCACCAAGTCCAAGCGGCGCTTTTGCACCTCGTATCCAGATGAGCGGCACTCAGACCCAGAAACTCGAGACTGTGTGACAGGTGGGAGCCATGGTGCCGCCCTACGATACCCTAATTTGAGCGCCCGAACATGGCAAGGTCAGTCAGTGTCGCCGCGGCGCAGGCTGCGCCTTTGCACACTCCCGCGAGGCGGAAATGCAAGTGTGAAGACAAGGATGTGAAAGTAGACCGGCCGGAAGTTTCACGTCCCAAGCTGCAGCTTCCTTGGCAGCTCCAGCCCGGTCTGATTGAGGAGATAGGTGTCCCGCTTCTGTCCATCGCTGAGGAGAACCAGGAGCCTGTGCAGCAACGGACAACAAGAACTTGTTTTTTTCGAAGAGTGTACGTTTGTCCCAGAGAGCCTCCAAACGTACAGCTTCTGACTCACCCGCAGCCAGGAGCCACATGCCTTGACGGATGACTTCTTCATGTACAAGTACAAGATGAGCTGGTGTCCAATCGGCGTGCAGCACGAGTGGCATACTTGCGTCTATGCGCACAACTACCAGGCCAGGTTGAGAAAATTCATATGTAGGATCATCTGATGTTTTGGGAGATGAGCTTCTGTGGGAGAGTTCCACACAGTAAGGGATTCCGGGTTTGAAAGTCTTTGCAGTCTTGGTTTCTGCACAGCCGTGCCAGCGTTCGGTGATTTGTCAAAGTTGACGGTTGTTGCAGAGAAGGTGGACGAAGTGAGTGTGGTGCTGTCGCGGTACGTTGCAGGATGCGCGACGCCCCGCCACCATCGGGTACGGAGCCAGGTCGCTTTCTCAGGAGTGACCAGGAGCCAGAGAGCCAGCAGAATCAGCAGAAGACAGTTCGCCGGAAGTGTTTGCTCGCAAACGCTCGCAAAGTTTAGCTGGAATAGGACTTGACCGCAGATGTGCTAGATTTGCAATGCATCCTTCCCCTCGTCGGATCTGCTGACTTGCGCTATTCGTACAAAGTTACCAAGTGCAAGAAGTTCCGACATTCACGAGAGCTGGAACATGTGGGCACGTGCAAACAGTGTTGAAGATCAGAGAGCCTGCGGAGCATGGAACCTTGTGGTTGCATGTAGTGATAGTATCAATATTCTTGTGGATCTGCAAAACCGTTTCTCATGTTGAAATGTTCTAGCGCGTGACACAGGCTCTGCCCATACTGGAGCAAGAAGGCCCGGATCCAATGTGCGTGTGTGAGCTTGAGCGCTCGCTGCTCAGTAATGTACCCGCTACCGCAAAATCGATGGTGAGCAGTCGCCACGTCACGGACCTAGACCGCAGTGTATTGCTTTAAGCTGCTGTTGAGGCTGTAGCCAAGAGTTTTAAGCTGTGGGACCGGGAAGCCCAGCTTCAACACCTCGAAGTTTTGCCACTCCCGCAGCCGGCTCTGCCTGGAGGACACCGGCGCCGAGTACTCCCAGCGCTGTCCTCTTGGCCTCCGTTGCCCCTACTCGCATGGTGCCAAGGACTCGAACTGGAGCTGAGTTGAAGTCTTCGGCGCGTTCTGCAGCAGCCTTGCTTCAGGAGCAGCTCTATCACCCTCACTACTTTAAAACCGTCGTGTGCCGAGACCTTCGCGGGAAGGCACAGTGCTGATCATCCATGTGGTTTCTTGCAAAAGCATGAACTTGGCATTCAGAGTGAAGTCAAGTTGGAAGCTGGAGGCATGTCCCCGACACAAGCTTTGTGCTTTCTACCACCATCGCCATGAGCGCCGCTGGTCCCAGCAGACAGCACCAGCTTAGAGCAACTTTGGGGAAGTGAGTTCACTTGCCAGCTTCGCAAGCTTTCATCGGGTCTTTCGCAACTGATCCAGAAAGCCTAGGCCCTAGATCTCTCACGTGGCATTGAATTTAGGTCGGAACTGAGGGTCATAGCCAGCGCTCAGGGAGATCAACTTAAAGAGCATGTTCGATGAAGCGAAACTTATGTCGTGCCTTGCTTACTTGGTCTCTCTGGATGCGGATCAATCCACAAACAGTCTAGCTCAATGACTTTGCAAATCGGCAAGGTCGAACGACTCCGGTTGATGACGTCGACTACGCAAAGCCACTTCCGGTAGAGGCACACTGGCCTGTAGCGTTCACCAGCATTGTGCTTTCCCCCAGCGCTCGTCCTTTGAGCTCTCCAGGCATTGCCTGAAAGCTGGGTCACTGACTTTCTGTTGTGAGCTCAGTCGCAAGTCAGGATAGCTCAGAGGGGCCCTGCCTTGTCACACGAGGTCCCCTCCGTTCCACGCTGAGTCAGGCAAACCCAGGATGGATGACCCCAAGGTCTGTGGACGTCTTTCAATTTGTATCGGCAAGCTGCATTGACATAGCACGTAGTGACTTATGACGGCAAGTTAGCTTCCACCGGCCAGGAGCGAACTATGCAGGGACCCCAGCAATCATCACGGGCGTGCTTGAGCAGGTGTTTGAACGTGCAACAGACACTTCAGTCCTATCAAGTCGTGAGAGGACACTCAAGTGGACTGTGGAAAATCATGCGAGTGTTTGGAATGGGGTTTGGATTGGGTTGGTCCACAAAGGAGGCGTGTAATCACCTTTGAAATATCATCAGTAATCGGATTCACGGAAGTACGTCGGAAAGGATGTTCGCCTCGGCTTAGATCTCAGGATGCAGGCTCCCGGGCAGATGGATCAAGGCGGACAATACGGGCAGATGCCTTGAACCCAGTTCTAGCTGCAGATGCCTGCAGTATGCACCACTGCTCTGTGACACGCTCGACATGAAAGCGATCGTAGCAGTTCTGGTGAAACTATTCTCCGCAAGCTCTTTATTATGCCCAGATCTTACGAAGTACCACGTGCCACACGAGGCAGTGCGGGCAGATGCCTTTCTTCCCAATGTTGCCGGGACCTGACAAGTACATGAGTGTGGGATCCTTCGAAGGCAATTGGGCCGAGCTTAGGCCCGGACAAATGCGGAGCGGTGAGCGGGAGTTGGGGACCCGGTTCATGCGCTTCGACTTCCAGGGCAAGACAGCACTGTGTGCCCTCAGGCTGGAGAACTCGCCTTCTCGTGCGCCCCAATCGCATGGCATGCCTCGCGCTTGGAGGGGTGCTTGACGATGGCGGCTCCACTGGTGAATTGTACTCCTCTTCATGCCTGAGGTCTTCTGACAACATGCTTCCGTGGGTAGCGTGCTCAGGGGTCCGGATGTGCTGGAGTCATCCCTTTTCTTCCTTGGACCTCTACTGCTTCATAATGCGCCCGGTCAGGCTTTTGCGGCGTCCGATGGTTCCAATCGCCTAAGCAATTGAGACGTCCGACACGCCTGAGACACAAGGGCAGTGCGCCCGCCAGATGTGGTCCCGGCGTTGTTCTTTTTAGTCCCATCAAGTGGACATCTGCGCGAAGACCTTCGCACATGACCTTTAAGGACATTGGCCAGGTGTTCCCGTGACCACGTATCAGTAAGCTATCGAGTCGTAGAATCATGGAGGTGTACTCAGCGAACGAAACTTGAGAGAAGCAGGTCTGAAAAATGCAGCACTTTCACCGGTCGGAGGATCGCCACTCGCGCCATAGGGGGCAGTCTGCGTGCTGACACACTTTCACATGTAGCCCAGAAGGACCTTGGCTCCAGCACTGTCGGAGCCTGGACTCTCTGAGTCTTTAATCCATTGGCAGTGGCAGCTGATTCGGATGCCCCAGAGCGAGTCAATCTCACTGGCGTTGTGGATTGAGGTACCTTAGGCTGTTTCATTGCACGATTTGCTTGTTCACCAATGTGTAGGCATGAACCATACATCCTTCGGCCTTCAAGTGAACAATGAGCACAAGGAGGATTCAGTATCACTGCTGTTGCGAGGCTTCGTTTTCCATTCCTTTAGACCCTCGCTGTGTGTGTCACAGTATTCCAAGAGACACCGAAACGGCGAAGGTGCCCCGCAAACTTGGCGGGGTGCGCTCACCCACTCAGATGCCCTACACTGGAATCCTGAATTGCTGTCGATGTGTTTCTGCTATTTGCTACACCCATCCCAAGGAGCTAGTGCGACTGTCAAGCTGCTGTTTCGTTATGCTGTGGGCATCGAAGCACCTAGAATGCGTGCAGACTGAGAGCGAGAGAGAGTCAGAGCGAGAGAGATCGAGAGAGAACATGTCAAAGGAATTGTTCTTGGATCCCGAAACTGGACCTGGTCGATGCCAACACCGCAGGCTGTTCTAAAGCAGATGGGAAGCTCAAAGGCATAAAGTCCAGTTTCGGGGTGTGAAGATTTTTCCCTTTGAAACAAAGGACGTAGAGAGACCTTGACTTGCCACGGGGGACCGAATATCCTTCTACCTGCTTCTTATCGCCATCCCTACCGACACAGCATCAGCTCGTTGAACCCTAAAATTTGCTACCCCCGACAGAGTCTCGTGAAATCCAGAAGTGTTGGTTCAACTTGTGTTTTCACGGACATGTTGCAAGTTTCCGCTGCAAACTCACTTCTGGATTTCACTGTCATCCTGTTGGGTGCACTTTTTTACTCGGCTGGTCCACTGAGCTATTCTGCGACATCTGTTTCGACTGACTTGCACAGACATGGGACCCTGTGGCAATTGATTGCAGAAAGAGGGGAATGGAATGTCTCTGGCTTATTTGAATAGACCTGTTAGTTCAATATTCTGCACCCTGTCAACAACAAGCCTACAAACCATATTTAATAAACACGATCG